CGACGAAGACAAACTTTGCCTTAGGCCTAACAAAGCTGCAAAGCAAGGTAAAAAATGTGAATAAGGCTTGAGTTCCCCCTTAAGACAACATAACATAACATAATACACGTCATACAATCATAAAACACAACATTTGTAGAGGTCACAGGGGATGTGTTGTTCATACAACAAACAAGTCATCTAATCAAGGCAATAGTAAAGCCAATACTTGTTTGACTTAAGCCGAAGTCACAATGCTCCTTTGATACCAACTTAAAGTTGCTTCTTGAAATCTAGTTATACCTAAAAAGTCTCACGATCATAATTTAGAATTCTGCGGTAGAAATTGACTAATCTAATTTTATAAAATAGTCTAAGCTTAACTCCAAATAACTTAAATGAGCTAAAAAGCAATCGTGTTATTACATTTATTTCATTAAATGCCATGCACATATGTGATCCCAAAAACAATTATTTTCATTATCAATATGCATAACAACACACAAAAACATCCCTATAACGACTCATACGATGACATACACATCCAACTGTATTTTAGAAAACAAAACAGTATAGTTTCAATAGAAAAATTTCTTACCTCGAATCCTTCCCTTAATCGCTTTTAGAAATATTGGTCCAACTCTGACCCACACCAAACCTACCCTTAGATCTACAAATCAATCTAAACTGCACAAAACATAACAATTCCAAAATTTATTGGGCTTCATCACTCACCGTTATCTTATGGAATATGTGGTTTTAATTTCTACTTTCCCAACTTAGGTCGAGGTTGCTGCTTCAACTTTCCACTTTGGTACCTTAGTTACTATATTAATAGTTACAAATAATCATTAGTGGTACGTCGAATCCATAATCGAGATTAAGCTAAAATATCAAGCTTCAAACTAACCGTTCACTCTTCCCAATGGCAGTCCCCGCGCCGGCTGTAGCAACGAGCACAGTGGTGATGATAGTGAGCAGCTACTGATGCTCGTAGCAGTCGATGGGTAGTTGCAGTGCCCATGAAAAGGGAGACAAAATCAAGGAGAAAGAAGGAAGAAAAAAGAAAATGCAGAGAAAAGGAGGACGTCGACGGGTGAGCGGCGGTTCTCGAGCACGACGCTAACAACCCATACGGTGATCAATTGATTCTAGGATCTGCGGGGCTGAGCGATATGCTTGTTATAACGACACTACAACAACAAAGACACTATAATGGGCTCACATTGACAATATTTGCAACGGCTTTGCACAATGACATAAGGGTAGTGTGGGGTTTTACGCAGTGTCTTAAGGTTGATATTAATTGTTTTTACTCATGAAATTTCAATTTGTTCCATAATATCTCTACCATTTTGGACACTAGTGTGTTTTGTGTTGCTTCAAATGTTTAAATTATGTAATGGCATCACGTACGTTAGCGTTTAAAGATCATTTTAAGTTGCATCATATTAATAAATTGATATTTGTTTTTAGGTAAAGACAGAAGTATTCAATATTGTCGTCCTATTTCATATAAAAGCCATGAAAAAGTTAAGATTGGGTTTTGGGTCGGGTGCATTATAGAAATTAGATTGATTTATCATTTTCATTTTAGGATAGAAAAATTGAGAAAATAAAACAAAAATATAATTAAATGTATATGTTTTAAATTAAATATTTTTATAATATTTTATATCTATAACTAATTTTTTAAAAAATAGTCATTACATTATATAATTAAATTTAGTTTTTAGTTATCCAGAAATTAAAAAAAAGAAAGTATATTTGATATAAAGATATGGTTGAGCTGGAAAATACAAAAAAAAGGGACTTATACGATTAATTTCCAGATAAGAAGGACACGTCTGATCCACTAGGAAGGGAATGTAATATTATTTTGGTATATTATTGGCATTTTTAAGCTGTTTTCAAATTCCAGCTGTCATTTCCTTTATAATCATTTTATTTTTCATTTTTTCTCTATTTTCTCTCACTTTCTTATATACACCTTTAAATTTAAATACTGACTATGGTACTAAAAATACTTATTTTCAGCCCGAATGAATAACAATATTTGATGTTATTCTTAAGGGAACTCAATTGAAATTGAATGAAGCAATTTAATTTTATACATAACATCAGCATCTTCCTCCTAGTGATGATCTACTTATAATTAGTAATGAACCGTTAAGATTTTGGAGATAATTTATTTTTGCAGACTTAAATTGGTCTAAAGGATAACATCATAACACTGTTACAAATGACGGTTGAAGCATGATATTATAAACCTTCACAAGACTCTGATGAGATATGTGCACACTCTTCTTGTGACACTAAATAAATATCCACAATGTTGTGACACTATAGGGACAATTTTGCATGTCACACTATCTACATTCCTCACATATTAACCGTTGAGACTATTTCCATAAATCAACACGAGTCCTTTCAACATTTCTCACTTCTTAAGAGTGAAGATTATCCCAATAGACCAATACGAGTTCTTCTTTTGTCATCTCAACATCAAATTACGATTGAGCCACTGAAAAAAAGAGGTGTATTTAGTTGGTATAAGTAATAACTTTCCATTCTTTTAAACTTTTCTTAGTCATTCTATCTTTAGAATAGAATCCAACCCGGGAAGAAAGGAAAAAAAAACAAGAGATGCAAGACAATCTCTTCCCACGTGTGAAAAACCTATCAAATTTGAAGCGTCTAATAAGGGAACAGATGTAAGAGGCAGCTTCCTTCTCTCCCCCACGAATTGACTTCCTCTTCGTCCTCTTCTCTATATATTCAATCTTCCTTCTCCATTTTCATTCCAACTCTTTCGCACTCTTTCATCTCCTTTCCAATCTCCCTTTTTTCCCCTTCGATCTTTCAGGTACCTCCCTTTTTCATTCCCTTCCTTGTTGTTTGCGCCTTCGATTGCTTGTGTTATTGTTCATTGTTTCGTTTTCTCGACCTTCAACTCCACGATTCTCTGCTCTACAATCGCCAGAGAAATCAATCGCCTATTGATATTGGTATATGATTGTGCGTACTGATTTTGTTTCATTTTATGTGTTTTGGTTAGATATGACTTCTAATGAGAATGCCGTCGGTGAGAAGAATCGAGTTCCGAAGCTGAATGAACGGATTCTTTCTTCGCTCTCTCGAAGATCGGTTGCTGCTCATCCTTGGCATGATCTTGAGATTGGTACTTGCATATCTGTTGTGACCTTACTCTGATTACGGTCATCATTGTTCTGATTTAATTTCGTTATTCCTTTTTTTACTGCAGGACCTGATGCTCCTAAGATCTTCAACTGTGTATGTTTTTTTTCTTTCCTCATTTTATGTTCAAAGTTTATGGAGATTTATACGTTGAGGTTATGCATTAGAAGTAACAGAAGTATAGTTGTGTACAAACCATTTTCTTGGTTTGATTTTGTGGATGAACTGTGGTTGCAATTTCTTCCAAACTCATGGATCTGTGAATGCTGTTCAACTTTAAAGCTGATCCGTTAGAAAACAACCCCTAGTTTGTGGCCCTTATGATTTGTATCGTTTTAGCATTGAAGCATGGAATGCAAAGAGAGTAGGTTGCAATGTCTTATCATTCTAGACAAGAGTTTTTGTCCTTTTCCATTTACTTTAGCTGGAGTTACCTTTCCATTTATGATGCTTTGGAAATAACATTTTTCCATTCCATCCTTGGGATTTTTTTTGCCATCAAACCCAGTTTCTGTTTCTTTTTTTTTTTCTTTTCTTTTTGCTTCAGAAAAATTTCAAATGTTTTCAATGTCTTGATTGATGGAACTACACAGGTTGTTGAGATTACAAAGGGAAGCAAAGTCAAATATGAACTTGATAAGAAGACTGGGCTGATCAAGGTATGGACGTGATATCAGATACCATCCCTGATAAGAGTTGGAACATCTTGTCTTGTGAATTTAATTGTGGTGTGTCCATGATGATTTTGGACAAGTCACTTAGATATTAAAAACAAAAAAGAAAAAAACATGAAGCGTTTCAGATCTCAAAAAAGTGAGGAATTTGTTTTGATTTAAATTCTCCTATTTGAAGGTTCTGACTCAGTTCATAATGAGCAGGTTGATCGAATTCTGTATTCATCAGTGGTCTATCCACATAATTATGGCTTCATCCCCCGTACACTGTGCGAAGACAATGATCCTATGGATGTTCTAGTACTTATGCAGGTTATACTCTGAACATTGCTCATTCAGTTGATATTCTTCTCAAACTGATCTTATAACGTAATCAAATAAATTTTGGTATTGCACTACAATCTCTCTAGTAAGAGGCAAACTGAATATTTCTGAAAATCCTAGAATGCAAGACATCACAATTTGGTTCCAACCTTTGGATTAGCCGAAAAGACATCCAAGAAATTTTGGACTCTGCCTTTGTGTTGCTGTTTTTTCTTACCTGCAGCAAGTTTTAGCTTCATTCACTGTGGCAATTTACAAAAAGTCCATTGATTTGTTTGTTTAGGAACCAGTTCTTCCTGGCTGTTTTCTCCGAGCCAAGGCCATTGGACTAATGCCCATGATTGACCAGGTACTTTTGAAGCAATGGAAACAAACAAAGCCTACTTTGTTCTCTCATTCGAATAATTTAACAAAATTGTTGCTTTTGATCCAGGGAGAGAAGGATGATAAGATCATTGCAGTCTGTGCTGATGATCCAGAATACAAGCATTACAACGACATCAAAGAGCTTCCCCCTCACCGTCTCTCTGAGATTCGTCGCTTCTTCGAAGACTGTATCCTTTCAAATCTAATTACGAAATCCAGATTATTGTTCTTGGGCCCGACATACATGTCTGCAAATTTCTTAACATAAGTGAATCACAGATAAAAAGAATGAAAACAAGGAGGTAGCAGTTAATGACTTCTTACATTCAGGCGTTGCTCTTGAAGCTATCCAGTACTCAATGTAAGTCTTTCAATCAGATCCAATGAATTTTACATTCTGGTTTAGTTTCAATATTTGTTCTTACAAGATTTTAAATTTTGACTAAATTTGCAGGGATCTTTATGCTGAGTACATTCTGCACACCCTGAGGCGATAAACCGACGCAATTCACCCCGCCGATCACCTTAATAAAAGGCGGTTGTAACGATTATATTTCAAACAAACATGTTCTGTTGTAACGTGGGACTAGTTTCCTTTTCTCTTTTCTTTTTGAATTCAAATTTTTGGTTATCTGATAGATGAATACCACGTCAAGGTTTGAGCTGTTTATTTTTTTGTTTTCGTTTATGAATCTGATCAACATATTGAATGAACACTCTATATTTCTCTTAACAATTTTGATCGAAAATGGTTATTTATCCATTTACCATTTTATCTGATTTAAATAAAGTTGGCCGTTAGGATGAAGATCCTCATTATTTTCCACGAATAAAACTGGTCAAATGGATACGAGATATTGAAATATTCTGCAACATCTCACTTTTTCACCCAAGCGAATACCTTTCACTACTAAAACGTATCACCATTCATGTCCAAACACTGATTTAAGTTTTAATTAATTTTTAAGTTCATACTCTAATTTTTTTTTAAGTTTTTGTAATTTGTATGAACAAATTATCCTAATCAGTAAGAGTTCGACTGGACCTCCTCTTTTTTTGCTACCTTCTTACAATTTCATGTCTACCATTCATTCAATTATTATAAAGATGAACCTAATTTAGAATATGAAACTACACCGATCACAGGAATACCTGTACCTATTATCTAAACAGGAATCATTACAGTAATCTCGGTCATTTGTCCCATTTCCTTCTCCATTTCATCATGTGGTCGTGCTAGAGACAGAAACCGCACCACAATTAAAATCCAATTACAAATTGGTACTTTGTTCAAATGAGGAATGAGATGAGGATACAGATTCAAATAAAATGTCAACGTCCTATTTGGGCTTTCCGCTTCTCCTCTTCTAAAACACGTATGCTAGGGAGAGATTTCCACACCCTTGTAAAAAATGCTTCATTCCCTCTTCAATCGATGTGAGATCTCACAATCCACCCCCCTTAGGGCCAACATACACTCGTTCCTCTCTCTAATTGATGTGGGATTTCACAGAGATGACCCCCCTTATGATTGAGTAGCTCCCGGACACTCCCTCACCTAAATCGACAACCAATGAACACCTGGAAAAGTAAGGTAAAATAGAGCGAATATAAAAAATCCTCCTGCTTACTTATAGACTCTCATCGCATCCAATGCTCAGTGAATTTCCAGAGGCTTTAGGCTCTACAAAGTTCGAGCCTACTTCTGCATCTATCAAAGCTTCTGGAAAGGCCTCGAAGTTTTGATCGGATCTCATGACTATCACAAACTCACTTTGGGTCGAAAGGTGGTTCGCCCATTTCTAGCATCATAGATCAACTAGACGAGAATCTTAGCTCGAGATGGAGTAACTTTATACTCTTCTGACTTAGTCAACTTGTATAATCACAATAGTGAATGATCGATATCTATGCAGGTGAACTACCTAATAAAATCCATATGACATCTAGATGGTTTGAACATCATCTATGGAATATTAATTGATAAACCCTTCCACAGGATCATAGAATCACTCTAAGTCGGGGAGTGTGACCCCGAGTAGGTTACTTATGTGATCCTACTCCCTCTCTTAGGACAGGTTTACAGTGCAGAGGCCTTATTCAAGAGACCTATGGCCATTTCCAAACATTTTATATTTATTAACCAAAGAATGCAAATTTCTTTCTTATGTTTAAATTTCAAATTTATCCAAACTAACTTATTCATTTTTGTGAACACAACAATTCCAGCTAAGCCTATATTTAATATTTAATTCATTTTATTTAAGTGTTTTCTTCCCCTAGTTTAAAAGAATTTGATTCTTGAAATTAATTTATTGACCATTACATAACTTATATGAATTAGATGGGCCATTAACTTTCTATCCAAAGGTCTTGGTAGGGCGTTTTTACTCGGTAAAGATAAACTCACTATTCGAAGTTCTTGCTAATTCACACGAGATTTAGCCTTACAAGATGGTCCTTGCTAATTCACACGAGATTCCTCGTGTCTCATGCTACTCGAGTCAGAACGTAAGCTAGTGATGCTTTCAGCTACTGGACTCTCGTCATCTAGACTGCAGCACTCCACCGCTTCGCCTAGCAGCACGACGCATGCATTGCTCTCCTACGACCCCGTTTTTAAGCAACATATTCAACCGGTTCAAAGGCAATATGATAGGAAATAATTGAGGGTAAAAGAAAGAAAGGGGTGAGAAAAGAAGAAAGGGAAAAGGTTGTAGATTGTGTGTATGGGGATAAAAGGAAAGGATATAAAGAACAGAGGATTAGGGTTTAGGGCAGCAATGAGAAGGCAGGCATGGGAGTGAGGGACCATATTACACATTAAAATATGGAGTGGTAAAGTGAGTTAAGAGATGAAAGGTCCTTGTCCAAACCTTTGCATGCGCTGCGTGGAACTGCCCCCTTCCTTTTCTGCACACATAACATAAATATAATTAAAATGAGAGGACTTTGATCACAGTGACCACTCCCGTTAGGGGTTTTGAGGCTTCCCACCTTCATAAATACTATTTTACCAAATTTTCAAAATAATGTGATGGATTACATTTTTCTCTGCTCACGACTTTGATTTTAAAAAAATATGGAGTGAGTACAGTAAGTAGTTTACTTGTAAGTTGTTAATGTACGTAAGTAGTTTACTTGTAGGTTGTTAATGGTATACATGATAGATGCTAGGGTACCATACTCTTTCTTGATCATGATACATATCTTGGTTCTTTTCTAAGAACGTCAGTCCTTAGGTTCTCGGTCCTTAGGTTCTCATCATGAGTTTAGAGAATATGGTTCTATTATTAGGATCTTAGTAGGGGTTCTAAGTTTTAAGTTATGAACTCCATCGTCACGACCTTGGTTCTGAGATAGTGTGTTCGGTTTCATGTATTTCCTGTGACAAATGTTGAGTTATGATACTTGTGCTTAGGGCTTCATGCATCTTTTGCGACACAATGTGCATGCTTATGCCTTGGGTTTTGTATGTTCTCTATGATGTAGTATGAATACTTACATCCAAGGCTTCATGTGTTTCCTATGACACATTATGCATACCTATATTCAGGGCTTCATGTGTTCCTAAATACCTACACCTATGACTTCATGTGTTCTCTACAACATAGTCTGTGTCATGAGATCATGTTGCACCCACCATCAAAATATCTTAGGACATGAAGGAAGAGTGGTACCTAGTTCTAAGAATTCTTTCTTTAAGGCTAGAGGTACAACCAATGCATAATTCATAACCGGTAAGCCATGAATCAAAACATGTAAACTTTTGATGCATAAGTCCTTCGTTCTATCATCAGTAGGCATCATGTTACTTTGAAACCATAAAAACCTGGGTATTCTTATAAAGGAGATATTCGGGATAATCTGGTCATTTTTCTTCTAAGTTATGGTTTATGTCTCAAAACATGTTATAAGGCCTTTGAAATATTGCATGATAATCTCTGATAATCTCTAAAGTCATAAATGAGGTCATAATATTTTGAGTCTATTTAGGTCTTTAAAACATCAGACAATCTTGGTAGGAGCATTTTAGTCATTATTCACCTTATTCTTTGTTTAGGTCTTAAGTATACTCCAATTATCTTAAAACTTCACCTAGTCCCGTATATCATTGAAAATAAGTCTCGTATAAAATCTTAATACATTTGGAGTTGGTTTGGATCATGAAAAGCTTGAGGACATAGTAGGGATGTTTTGGTCATTTTACCTATCTCCTTGATTTATACCTTAAACATGTTCATGTCTACCAAAATTTACATATACCCTGAGAATATCATATAAGCCTTTTATTAAAATTTTATATGGAGCAGAATTTATTTAATGGGTTATTTCAAAGTATCATGATTTTTTAGCAAAATGTTCGATTTTTTTAACGATTTTAAATTTCCCTATTTAACCTAAGCTCATTACTATACATTTAACATGTCATTTAATGTGGAATTACGACTCTTATTATAAATGCAACATTAACCTATACTCTTAAATGCAAATACAATTCAACTTATACTGACCTATACTATTAATGCAAATACAATTCAACCTATACTAACTTATACTATTAATACAAATACAATTCAACCTATACTAACTTATACTATTAATACAAATACAATTCAACCTATACTAACCTATACTACTAAATTTGAAATGCAAATCTATCCTATACATGTGCCACGGTCACGGGATTTGCGATGCTTCCGTCAGTCTCCCAGGGGTGTCTTGCCTTTATATGAGAATGTAGTAGCATGAGGCTTGAGTATTTTAAGAATACTCAGTAAGCGATTCCATATCAGGGTTATGCAACAAGAACATGCGAATGCAATGACGGGACCTATCATGTCAGTCTATTTTCTTACGGCACTATCCTAACAGACAGCTTGGAAGTGTACCATATACTCTACACACAGCCCATACGTGCGAGTATGGACTCACCAGTCAGTTCGCACACCGCTGGGCCTCTTTCCTTGTTAGGTGAGCATGCTCTAGTAGCTCTTTATGCCAAACACCCGTTAGAATTAGTAACCGTCATGACAACATTATGTAACACATAACGATAGTTCTCCTACCTAGTGGTGTACGCGTCCATACCCTCATTATGGAATAGGGGTATCCCCCAATGCATGAGCACACATATTGCATGAGGTCCCAATATTTTTCCATTTTCAACATTATTAAATATAACCCAACTATGGTTTTTCATTCATATCATATAAATTAATATCATATCATTTATCATTTTTCATTTGTCAGTTCTCATATTATGCATAATTGTAATGGGGTTATATTTCATGCCATTTACCGTGATTTCATGTCATTCATATCATATTGTATATATACAAGTTAGGATTTCATGTCATTCATATCATGTTGTATATATACAATTTAGGAGATAACATAACATTCCATGCTTTTAACATAACACTTCATAACGTGTGATTTATACAGTAATTACCTCAACGGTCACATAAAATGATCTAAACATAACATATTATATCACATTATAATGCACATCAATTCGTTCCAAAACCGCATACATTCACATTGTATACATTTACAAATTAAATCGTAACAATCTAAACATATAATTTATGACACGTGCAAAACCACGGGCACGTGCCAACATACAACGTTCAATTGCTATAACCTATGATGATAGGGCCACTTACTTGGTAGATCTTAGCCGATGTACTCCCTAATAATTTATCACGTAAACTCCTAGCTCCTCCTACACGTCCTACGCTATCGTCGGTGGTTGGTTCTTATTGGATCGTTCAAGACCTTTTGTTAGTATTTCACAAACATAAACATATTTCGCCTTGAAATTGTGAAATACGACCTTAAAATGACCTAATTTACCTTCAACGAGGTCGAAATCAGGTCCGAGAGGGTCAAAACGTTGCCAAATGGGTCAAAAATGGGTTTTCGAGTTAAAAAACGCACGAGAGTCGAGAACCCTTAGCCAAGCCTTTT